TTGGCACGTACTAAACAGATGTCTTAGCTGTGAATATTGCTCACATACAACCCTTTAGAAGCCAGCTTTTTTCAGTCATGTTTCATTACAACACGATGGTCCAACAACGCTCGCTGCCTGACGTCGACAGAGGATGAGCCCTTGCCTGGCTCCAAGATGGCTTCACGTTCCCAGTTGTTGCACATCGACTTGGGGTGTCTCAATCAGTCATATAGAGGCTGCAAGAACGATGGTGAGCGACCGGAAGGGTCTAGGCAAGGCCTCGACCAGGACCGCCCCGTTTGACCAACAACAGTATCGACCGGTTCATCGTCAAACAGGCCGTGACGTCACGAACCACCACTGCAAACGGCATCAGGGACCAACTACGGGTGACAGCCATTGAATGTCCACGAGAGCGAAGAGACGGTAAGGAACCGTATCCGTAGAGCCAGGTTAGCTTCTTGTGTCCCTGCCAGGCGCCCAAGGCACACACTACCCCACAAAGCAGCTCGCCCGGCGTGGACTGCTCTCCATTCACAGTGGACACAATATCAGTGGGACCAGGTAGTCTTCTCGGACGAATCCAGATTCAACCTGCTGCACCCAGACAGGCGAGCCCACGTCTGGGGGCGCCGTGGAGAACTGTTCTACCCTGAGTGCATCCAGCAGGCGACCCCCTACGGTGGAGGGCCCGTTCTGGTGTGGGGAGGCTTCTCAGCTCACTACAAGACCCCTTGTACCATATACAGGGCAATTTGACCCCAGCAAGGTACAGGGGGAAATCCTGTGTCCCCTTGCTGTTCCTCTCCTGAAGCAGATTGGACCCAAGGCTGTACTGTAGGACGACAACGCCACATCACATCGCGCACGCATCGTGGGGGACTTCCTGCAACAGCATGGACTGACCAGCTTGTAGTCCGGATTTGAACCCAATAGAGAACATTTGGGATCACATTGAACGATGGATAAGGGACAACCACCCTCCTGCACAAAACCTTCAACAACTCTTGGGCTACCTCGTCCAGGAGTGCAGAACCTACCCCAATAAGTTCTCCGAAGGCATGTCCTGTCCATGCGTCGACGCTGAGCACAGTGTTTGATCAAACGGAGAGGCTCCATCCAAAATTGACAATGTTCATAGGGAACTATGGCTGTTCAGACTCTTAAAATCCGACCAGGGTGACTTAAATTCATTTTACATGAACTTGTCGTTGTTGTTGAAATCTGAAATTGTACACACTTAATTTAGAGAGCCGAAAGCATCTTTTGTGAAAAAATGAATAAATTCGGTTAAACTTTTCTTTAGTTATTTTTCTTTGAATTTTTGTTCCTTGACTTTTTTGTGCGAGTTTATATGTACTTCTTGCGCTCATACTTTTATATGTACATACAGACAGACACACACGCACACATATACGCACACTCCTGCACATACACACACACACACACACACACACACACACACACACACACACACACACACACACTCATACACATGAATAAGCCCAGACTAGTACCCATATTAATACAGACAGACAATCATACTGACAGGCATACATACATGCAGACAGACAAATTGACTGACAGCCAGACAGACAGACAGGGACATATTATTATGTTCAATAAATAATTCCTTGGCTTTTGTACGACAAACACCTGTATTGTAAGTGTTATTTTGAGTCCTCTCATCTTTTGTCTAAGAACTAAAAATAGGAGAGGTTAATATCAAGGAAGATTGCCCAAACTTTGAACATAGGGAGTTAATCCTTTTCTTGCAGTGACGAACAACGGGGTTTTATAAAGTAAGTTCTTGGCGTTGGGGTCAAAGTTGTGGCATGCCAAGATCACGTCCATGAGTTCGAAATTCTCATGTTGCACGGCACGCGTGAAGGCTGTTTCCT